TCAATCAGAACAATGGAAACGAATCTTCTGGTAGAAGCATGTGTACCACCAGCTGAACTTCCCTCTACACCATTACTTTCAACGGTGAACTGAAACAGAATGAAAAGCCGGATTTTTATGGAAGAAACACAACAAATACAGATCTAGGTTCAACAACTTCGTTTGAAGCTGTTGGTTGTGAAGATGAACTCAATAGCAATGGAAGTGTCAACCCAAACATAGTCAAACTGGAAGACACAGCAGAATCTTCTGACTCCGAGATATTAGATTTTGAAGACATGCTAAAGCAAACAGCCGCATCTAATTCACATACATGTATTAGCAATGCAAGCACGTGCTCAGACTCTGTTTATTTTCACCCAAACAAAACAACTATCAAAAGACGCATACATATCATGGAAGACAAGAAAATGTCATGAAAAACATTCGCAAGGCTCAGGAACGACAGTCAAAACAGTACAACAAACGGAGAGCTGGGCAGACGTTTGAAGTTGGTGATTCTGTGTTGCTGTACAATTTGAGGCGAGCTGACAGAAAGGGGGCGGGGGGGCTAATTGCTGGACTGGACCCTATGATTCATAGTATGAAATTAACAGACAGTTGTCAAACGGTACGTATGAAATCAAACAAAATGGACTTGTATTAAAGAACAAGGTAAACGCGCAGAATTTAAAACCCTATTAAAAAAAGGTCAAGAATGAAAATGAATCAAAAGATGAAGTCAGAAACAACAGGACGAAACAACCTGAAGCGTCCGTGAAACAGTGGGATGAGAGAAGAGAAAGCAATTCCATTACGTCTGAAGATGACGTGATAATTGACAGGGTAGAAGATGGTGAAGCTCCAAAATTTAATCCAATAGATCATGTGTGGAGATTGCAGAAAACAGCTGAACTAGGTCTTCCATCTCCAAAACCCATGCCAGATCGAGAGCTAGGCAACCATCTTGGTTCCCCAAATAACACAAACTCTGTTCGTGGAGATGGAAACTGCTTTTTTCGAGCAATGATTGTTGAACTAACGGGACTTGAGGACCATCACCAAGACCTTCGATTATTCACGGTGTCATTCATGAGAGCAAACGCACACTCATTTGCTGGCTACTTAGGCGAAAACGTCAATGCTCACTTGATTGACTCAAACATGGAAGTTGTCAGCACCTGGTCCACAGATGCGGAAATATATGCAATGGCAACGTTGCTTGACACAGTGATTTACATATACACTCTTTTCGGACCAACACGACGTTGGATTCCCTTCAAGCCAAGATTTTGGAGCGACAACTTAAGTCAAAGCAAATCCGAAAATCCAGCACTTTATCTGACTAACCTCTGTGCTCATAATGAAAGGGTAGTAGGCGTTGAGCACTGAAAGTAGACAGATAATTGCTGGGGTTTTGGGATTTGCTTCTACTTCTGTTTGAAGAAACGTTTACATATTAAATTTAAAGTGTTTCAGGGGTAAAACACATACTTTATCTAAAGTAGAGTATTCTTTATTTCCTTGTCATCCGCTTTGTCGTTGTTAGCTGTTTCTGCTTATTTCGTTGTTTGTTTTTGCATTTTTCTACGTCATGGTCTCTCCTGTTCGCGCTGCCAAAAAAGGTTTAATAATTCGAGTGTAATTCACTGCATATAAGTCTGATGGCCTTAAAAAAGACAACCCAACCCCCCCCCCCCCCAACAAAAAAACCCACAAAAAAAATAAACAAAAAACAACAACAACAAAAGCAAGACAAACAAACAAAAATAACTACAACAAACAAACAAAAAAATTTAACAAAAACAACAACAACCAAACAAAAACAACAGCAACAACAACGCATCACTATTATCATTATTATCATTATTATTATTATCATTATTATTATTATTATTATTATTATTATTATTATTATTATTATTATTATTATACTCAACAGAAAACAAACAACAACATGGGCAAAAGCATGTCTATGTTTAAAATACAATCCATGACAAGTCTTTCCTGAAAAACAACAAGAAGAACCACATTTATTAATGATCCTTTAATTTAGATACAACAATAACCGTGTTTTTCTTTCAAATGCAGGCATTTAATATCTCCTGGGGGAAAATACTGAATGAATTACTGAGTGATCTCATCCTTTGGGCTGAGTAACTCGATCTTTCTGGTAACAGAGTTACTTCTCTTAACCGTTTTTCATGGGAGTGCGTTTGGCGTGGAGGGAGTGCGTTTCGCGTGGAAGTAGATTTCGCGTGGGTACACACCAAAGCGACTTCCCGCCACGCCAAACGCACGGGGGAGTGCCTCTGGCGTGGGAGTCAGTTTGGCGTGCTACACCGGCACAAGAAGAAAGGTGCATGAAACTGCTCTTCGCAGCACCAGTTTTGGTGCAAGCTAAAAATTTGATCCAAGTTTCCGCTGTTGTAAAGTAGAATAATCATATTGTAACAAAAAAGTACCCACTTTCAGTATTCCATAACGAGTACTTTAATGGTCAGTATCTGTCGGTATCGTTGAGAGCAAGAAAGAGTAACACACCAACACTCACACACACACAGATACACAAGAACAAAGATGTCTAGCCTACGGCAGCACAAGCCACAGTCATGTAAAGTTTAAGTCTTATATTAAACTCTGGAACACAACCCGAGAAGTTGTTTCATTTATTAATGTTTAATGTTGTCGGTGTTCTTGTACTGTTCGCAAGTAGAATACACATACAAATTGGCGACGAGAACTGCGAGATTGACGACGGCGTAAGTTGAAGCTTCAATACTTCAGTTCTTCGCAAACTCGATCATCGCTCACCAACACGTGACGTCGTGACCCCAGCGCCCCCGGCCCCCACAGCTCACCCCGTTTCATTGTCGTGTTAGCACCCATTACGTCAGCCGAAGCCAGGATTTTACTCCTTGGACTGCTATCAACGCACGCGACGCATTTCGCCCAGAAATCATACTCGCTGTTGAAAGTCATGGCGACTCTCGGGAGAATCGAAGAATTCGACCCAGAGAACAACGATCTCGAATCATACACTGAAAGACTAGAACAATATTTTGTGGCAAATGATGTTATAGAAAACAAAAAGACAGCAGTTTTTCTCAGTTTGATTGGAGGGAAGACTTACGAGGTATTGAAAAGCCTAATTTCCCCAGCAAAGCCTGCTGAGAAGACTTACTCTGAGCTAAAAGAAGCACTACTCAAGCACTACAAACCCAAACCACTTGTCATATATGAGAGATTTAACTTCTACAAAGCATCCCAAAGGGAAAATGAAAGCATCTCTCAATATCTGGCAAATCTAAGAAGGCTCTCACAGCACTGTCAATTTGAAGATTTTTTAGAAGACAGTCTGAGGGATAAATTTGTGTGTGGACTCAGAAGTGTGCATATACAGCAGCGGTTACTTCAAGTTGAGAAGCTAACTTTGCAAAAAAGCTGTGGAAATGGCACAAGCAATGGAGAGTGCAAAACGTAATGCCTCACAATTACATGAACAATTTGGAAGCAAAGTTCACATTGTGAAGAAAAGTCAAACAAAAGGAGCAATAGCCAGCCAAAAAGGAGCCAGAATAAGCCAAAGAGGAGCCAAAGTCCAAGAAGTGGCCAAATATAAGCAAAAGTGCTACAGATGCGGTTATGATAACCACACTGCTCAGAACTGCAAATACAAGGATTACACTTGCAATATCTGTAACAAGAAAGGTCATCTGGCCAAACCTTGCAGAAACAAAGCAGGAAACAGAAGCCAAGAGACAAAAATGGTAGTGGAAGAAGAACAAGAATTCATTTTCCCCCTCTGAAAGCAAAGACTCAAAAACTAATGCATTTCAAACAGAAATTATGATCAACGAAAGAAAAGTCTAAATAGAAATTGACACAGGCTCAGGTGTAACCATCATGCCAGAAACAACATTCAAAGAAAAATTTCCTGACATGAAACTCAAGCCAAGTGCACAGATTTTGAAAACCTTTAGTGAAACAGTCATTACCCTTGCAGGTGAAGTGATGGTGACAGTGAAATGTTCCACTGGCAAAAATGTAAATCTAAGACTGCTGGTAGCAAAAGTACCGCATCATACAACAGTTCTTGGAAGAGACTGGTTTGAGAAGTTAAAAGTTAGATGGGCAAACGTGTTCTCAACAACAAACAGCCTTTACTCAGTGTTGAAGAAACATAAAAATCTGTTCTTGCCAGGACTAGGAGAGCTAAAAGGTACTAAGGCAAAGATACAATTGCAAGAAAATGCCCAATCAAAATTCTTCAAGCCAAGACCAGTGCCATATGCACTGAAGTCAAAGGTGGCAGAAGAACTTAAAAGCCTGGAAGAAAAAAAGATCATCACCAAAGTCACACACAGTGAGTGGGCAGCTCCAATCGTGGTGGTCTGCATCCTCAAGAAGACAAAATCCAAGCCATGCAGGAAGCACCGAAACCGGAAAATGTGAAGGAACTTCGCAGTTTTCTTGTAGTACTAGTACTATGGGAAATTTTTACCTAATCTGTCAGCAACTCTAAAACGCTGAATGAATTGCTTCACAAAGACAAAGAATGGAAATGGTCTGATGCATGTGAAAAGTCATTTCGCAAATTAAAGGAACTGCTCAGTTTAAGGACAGTGCTAGTGCACTATGACCCGCAGTTACCATTAATCCTAGCAACTGATGTCAGTATTAAGGGACTAGGAGCAGTGATTTCCCACAAAATGCCAAGTGGAGAAGAAAGGCCTATCGCCTTTGCTTCGCGGACTCTCACAAAGGCAGAAACAAATTATGCCCAGATTGAAAAGGAGGCACTAAGAATCATGTTTGGAATCCTCAAGTTTCACCAATACCTCTACGGAAGATCCTTCACGCTGATCACTGATCATAAGCCTCTTCTTAAGATTTTTGGACCAAAGACAAACCTACCTGCGATGGCTGCTGCCAGGATCCAAAGATGGTCATTGGAACTCACCAGTTACCAGTATGAAATCCAGTACAGAAGAAGTGAAGATCACTAGTGCAATGCAGACATGCTGTCAAGACTGCCACAAAAGGGAACAGAGTCAGAGAATGAAAAGGACAAATTAGTCTATTTTTCTTACATCAATGACATGCCTATCTCTGCAGCTGACATTGCAAAAGAAACAAGAAAAGATGCAGTATTGTCAAAGGTGCTGCAGTATACACTGACTGGATGGCCAAATTGCTCAGAGGATGACAATCTCAAGCCATTCTTTCAAAGAAGGGAGGAGATTACCACAGAGGCAGGAGTTCTTCAGTGGGGCCTGAGAGTGATCATACCTCAGAAGTATGGAAACAGAATACAAAATGAACTACACGAAGGACATCTCGGAATGAACAAAATCAAAGCAATGGCTCGTCCATATGTACATTGGCCAAAGATAGATCTGGACATTGAGAAAATGGTCAAGGACTGTCACAGATATGCAGAAGGAAAGAACATGCCAGCAGCCGCACCGTCAAAACCGTGGGAACGGATTCATGTGGATTTTGCGGAGTACGAAGGTCAGAAATATCTCGTGCTGATCGATGCTCTCTCAAAATGGCCGGAAATAATACCGATGACAACAACGACAGCACAGAACAAATGATGTGCTCAGACAGATCTTTGCAATTCATGGATTGCCAGTCACACTTGTCAGTGATAATGGCCCACCATATAGGTCAAGTGAATTTGTGGAATTTCTTCAGAAAAATGGTGTACAGCACATAACATCCCACCCTTACATGCCTTCAACAAACGGATCTGCTGAAAGACTTGTTCAGTCATTTAAGAGACATGAAATCATCGAGCCCAGGACAAAGTGGACCGCAGAGATTGTCCAAAATCCTGTTAAAACTTCGAACAACGCCTCACATGATGACTGGCAAAAGTCCAGCAGAACTCTTATTCAAGAGAAAGATAAGAATCCGGTTGGACCTGATGAAGCCTGATCTCGTGTCTAACATGCATCACAAGCAAGAAGCTCAGGCACAAGGAAAAATCCTCCGTGAATTTCAGCCTGGTGACCCTGTCAAGGTCAGAAACTACCGGCCAGGTGTAAACAGATGGACAAACGGAGCGATCTTACAGAGACTGGGAACCCACAGTTACTCTGTTCGTGTAGGTGGAACGGTGCGACACTGTCATATCAACCAGCTGCAGTCTGCTCCAGACTCAACTGCAGATATCAACGAATTACCGCCTCCGCTACCTACCGTCCCAATGCTACCAATGGGTCAGGTGGCGTCGGTGGCCTAGTGATTAGGCTACCGGACTCGTAATCGTGAGATTGCGGGTTCGGGGGTTCGAGCCTCAGCTCGGTCCGACGTTTTGTCCTTGGGAAAGGCACTTTACACGAATTCCCACTTGGCTCGGTCCTATCGGAGACGGACGTTAAACTAGGAGGTCCCGCCAATTAAATAACGCAATAGTGTTGATAGGGGCGTTAAACCCATACCATTTTCACCAATGGGTCAGGATGAGGAACCAACGGTACCACCATCAAGTGTTAACGTTGACACAATCCAAGACGCCACTCAAGGACAAGCGTCACCACAACGATCACCACTAAGACGTTACTCAAAACGTGTCAGAAGACCAGTTCAAAGAATGGACTTATAACTCTCTACTCAAGGGAATGGACTGTCATAATCATGGACATTTTAACTACATAAAAGTGAATGGACTGTTTTAAGGATACAAATTCTCAGTGAATTAATTTCAGATGTGCTATTTAGTATTAGTGATATGAAACAAATCATATCAAAGGACTTACCTCTGAAGTGATAATTTTGTTTCAAGTTATAAGTGATTAATTTCTTTGCATCATAATGTGCACATAATAATATTACCTTACTATTGTTTTCAGTGAAGCAAAGTAAAGCCTATCACAGATCTCAAGAAGTCAGTTGTAATAGAATTGAAATGAAAAATTTCGATCAACTAAGGTGTTATTGTTACAGAACTATCTAGTAAGACTAGAATTACCCATTATGAATGTCCATGATAGGTAACAGTTAAAGTACACGTTTCTAAAAAGATTTTTAAATTTTAAGAAAGGGAAGAATGTTGTAAAGTAGAGCAATCATAATGTAACATATACGTACCCACTTTCAGTATTCCATAACGAGTACTTTAATGGCAAAGATAGTAAATAACAAGATGGGCCACTCAGGCAAAAAAGTGTCCGCAGGAAGTATGCTCTTTGCTTCAGATGGCGCTGCAGTCTGTTTTGAAGCTCTCTTTCGTTTTTCCAGAAGAAGAATAGGAATAGCACCTCCTTGCGTGCGCAGATCGACTGCTGTTCATCAGCAGTTCGGGTTCGTTCAGTACGGAGTTTTAGTGTTTTAAAATTTTAATGACCTCTCGCCTTTTATTCTAAAGTCAAATTAAACGAAGAAAACAATCACCCTTTCCTCCGGAAGAGGTTTTTTGTCAGCGTAACCATTTAAAAAAAGCGTTCTTCCGAAATTCATTCAAAAACTTGCTAGTTTCACTTTGATTTTTTAAACTCAAGTAAGATAACTCTGTTCGCTAAAGGTGCGCTTTTGCGAAGAGGGCGCCACCGAATTTTGAGGACACTTTTTTAATTGGCTCAAAGAGAGAAGTGCCCCCTCTTGTTATGTAGACTCTTTGTTAATGGTCAATATCGGTATCGTTGAGAGCAAGAAAGAGTAACACACCAACACTCACACACACACAGATACACAAGAACAAAGATGTCTAGCCTACGGCAGCACAAGCCACAGTCATGTAAAGTTTAAGTCTTATATTAAGCTCTGGAACACAACCCGAGAAGTTGTTTCATTTATTAAGGTTTAATGTTGTTGGTGTTCTTGGACTGTTCGTAAGTAGAATACACAACATCCGCGAGCCTATATAGGCCTACTACACTAGACCTAGTAGAGTCTACGGTAACTCAGTGAAGAATGGGTATCGATTCGAAACTGTCGTCTCCCTCTATTGTGTAGCAAGTCGTGGTGCTGCTCGAAGTAATTAGAAATCTTTAAATCTCTGATTGTGAGCATAGTGAGTAATTGGTAGTATAGTTTCACTTTATTGCAGCGTTTATGCGGTTTCTTCTAGAAACAGTCGTAAATATCGATAGCTGCAGATTACGGGATATTCTTGAGATTCTTTTATTAGAAATCTTAATAGTAGCTACCACTCTCTGGTAGCTACTAAGCCTATTGCCCATTTGCTCACTTTCTATTTATGCACCACCTTGTCTGCAACCCACGCAACGCCACTGATAAAGAGACATAATACCCTATAACCTCATCATCAGTAAAAAGCAATATCTTTGTAGGAGCATTAGCAGGAAGAACGGTATCAACGAATCAAGAAAACATCAACAAAAAGGAACAATAATATCAACAAACTTTTTATGCCAGTAAACATAACCTAATTATTCTCCTGCTCTGAACACGCAAAACGTAATTAGATCTAGGCCTATGAAGAAAGGAAACGAACTACTTGAATCTGTTGTGGACGGTGAGGTCCAGATCTAGATCTAGATCTAGATAGAACAAAAGTTTTGCGCATTAAGTTTCACACAACTCAAAGATCGTTCCGCAACTGCCAACCTTAATAAGTTAATAAGATATCCATCGCGTTATAATAGTAGTTCTCTCTCTCTCTCTCTCTCTCTCTCTCTCTCTCTCTCTCTCTCTCTGCCTATACCCCCCTCTACTCCCTTTCCCCCTTTGTTTATCGTCATCTCACCACACGTACCTCCTACACTTAAACACATTGTCACGATCCCCTCCCTCCTCCCTCCCCCCTCTTTATTTTTCGGTCTATCTGTCTGTCTGTCCGTTTGTCTGTCTGTCTGTCTTTGTCACCCCGTCTCTTTGTCTAGGCCTATACCCCCCCCCCCTTTTTTTCCCAAAGACAGACAGACCGACAAGTGGCCTTTACATTACAACAGGCATGAGACTCAGCGTGCAGCTTCACCCCTACCCACCCCCAGTTTACTGGTTAGGCCTTGGCTCGCTTCGTTGCGGCTCGCCTCGTGGCCTTGCAACTGTGTTGCTCTAAATCGGTGACCCAGAAAGGCCCGTGTTTACGTCTGCTGGGCCACAGCGAGGTCGGAAAGAAGTCAAGCCTTGCCTAACAAAGTCGGTCAACAACAAAATAGGGAATGTTGCCTCGTATATCTTTGTCGTGGACGGGATGCTCTTATCTCGGGGCTTAAGGGAGGGGGGGATAATTTTGAAAAAAACAAAACATTTCATATATAATATAACATAATAACTACAACAGGGCCGTTCCTAAGCAATGCAGTTCACCGAGCCAAATCACAACATAATACTAGCCTAATCATCACTGGTTTTGGTCGTAGATCTAGATCTAGATCTAGATTCGAGCCCCTGGTAACCACCAGGGTGCCCTCGCGAGAAACTTCCTCAATAGGCCCTACAATATTATTTACAAAATAGGCCTCTTGTGCACTTTAAATGCCTACATTTATATAGTCGTCAATGTTGAACTGTTTGCAAATGAATACAATACGATAGTTTTTAAACATTTATACCAAGATCTAGATCTAGATTTAGATCTACTTCAAGACACTACACGAGAACATCGACTTCAGGGATATATATTTTTTTCCGAAACAGGCTCGACGAATGCTCAACGGGGGGAAGATTTTCTATAATCTCAACTGAACAATGCAGACGTCCAAACATTTTCTTTCTTGGTGTTGTCCATCCCCACTGCAGGAAGTGCATAAAAGCCCTTCTATACAACTTCCACCCAAGCTGTACTTTCATTCAACTGTTCTCGCCGTATACTGGTTGTTGCCTACGCGTCTAAGTTGCTCTCTGATGTCATTGGGCCACCGTAGGCCTATTAATAATTTTGTTCTGGTCTTCCTCTTGGCCTAAACAGTTTTCTTCTGTTTTTGTTTTGATCCACGTTCAAAATTTATAAACGGG